ATATATTGTAATTGTGTTTGTAGATGTCATATTTTATTGTCATCAATACAGGATGGATCTGGATGGACGTATCACTTTTCTTCAAACGTTGGTGTCTGTACCTTTTTCCATAACGGTTTTATTGGCTTTCGTTTGGGCGAACCTATTTTCTCAGATTTTCTGGTCACGGTGTATTTGCTTGCGTCATGGGAGCTGGCTGAACATTATAGTTGGCTTGTTCCATTGACGTAAATCTATTGTTGATCTAGTGTGTGTCTTCTGTTAGTCTGTTTGGGTCTGCTGTGAGTCTATTGTGTGTCTTTGTGTGTCTACTGTGGGTCTATGTGGGTCTACTGTGAGTCTATGTGGGTGTACTGTGGGTCTATGTGGGTGTACTGTGAGTCTATGTGTGTCTACTGTGGGTCTATGTGAGTCTATGTGGGTGTACTGTGGGTGTACTGTGGGTCAGCTGACAATTCTTTAATACAACAGCACAAACAACGGGATTAACTACAACAAAACCCAGCGATGATGAGAACGTTGATGTAAACAGCCTTAGTAACAATTACAAACGAGCGCGATAAAAATCATTCATCTTCACACTTAAATATTTTCAACTCTGTTCAATCTCTTTGAATACGATATTGCAAGAAAATGATATTTGCACATTCTGTCTTGTTAAACTACAAACCACAAAAGTATCACATGATAGAAATGGGCAGGGACAATACAACACCACCACCAACAACAACAATAGAAAAAGCCACCCCCCCAAAACCCCCCGCAAAAAACCCACCAAAAAAACAAAACAAAGCAACAACAACAACACCCCCCAACCCCCAAACCCAACGAATAATTACTTTTTCTTTCAATTTACTTTTCCAGTACAGGGTCCGTCTGGGCTCTAGCCCTTCGGCCTGATAAATGAAAAACGTTAAAATTCTTATTCCAACAGAAAATCATATTCTAACATATGTTTTCTCTGATTGAAAGAAAGAAGAAGGACAACAACTAAGAAGAGACTCACTTGCACGTTGTCCCGTCGCTGGTGTAAGTCATCTGTTGAACAATGTCAATTAATACAAAAGCCTTTGGGCTTGAGCTCAAAGTTAGAGGGCGTTGGAGAATCTTCTTAGCAGTGTAGTCAATTCCATAAGAGCTGGCCACCTGTGGAAGAAGGTACTCCACGTTAGAACTGGTAGGAAACAAAGGCACAATTAAAGAATACATGTAAGCTTAAATAAAGGCAGGATTTGCGCCCTTCCCCCGCCCATTAATGTTTTGATTTTAGCTCCACTTCAATACATACTATAAGACGCAGTAATTGGTCCAGCAGTGAAGTAAAAGAAATAGCTGAGATGAAAAAGGAATAATTTTTTAAAGAATTAAGAAAGAAAGAAAAACTAAGAAAGGAATGAGAACAAGCTAAAAACAAAAACACACCACAAAAAAAAAAATGAAAAAAAAAAATGAAAGAAGCGTCGATAAAAGAAAGGAACAAGAGGAAAGAGGTTTTAAAATGGCAAAAAAGAAGGAAGAGGTGCATTTAGTATTTTTAATGCGCATCTTGTAAAAGCTGACATTTACGGGTGTTATTTCACCAACCCCATTAATAAGAAGCTATCTACCATCCCTCCCTTCTCCCGTTCTCTGTGTCTTTCTCTGTGTCTTTCTCCTTCTCAGTCACCGGCATTCTCTCCATTCAAACCTCTCTCTGTTCCCTCCCCTGTTTCGCTTTTCCTCTACGCTAAAGTAACACAGGGGCTCTTGTGGTCGAGAGGTTACGGTGTTCGCCTCTCATTTAATAGGGCCCAGGTTCGATTCCAGACAGGGACGGACATTTTTAAAAATTTGAAATTTTCTCCTTTCACTTCCTTTCCTGCTCTCTCACAATGTTCTGTCGTCTGTTTTCGCCTCCACTTTCTGCGCCCCCCCCTATCCCCTCACCCCCTTTACCCTCTCCTTTGAGCTATTGCCTCTTTCTGCTGCCTTTTTACTGCTACTCCTTGGCTACTTCTTATATTCTTATGCAGTTGAAAGCGCCGTAAAACACTTACAAAAAAACAAAGCTAACGAAAAATAACAACAACAACGAAAAAAAAACAAAAAACCCAAACAAACAAAAAACAACACACCTCATCACACCCCCACAATCCCCACTTCACGTATCTATCTATCTATCTATCTATCTATCTATCTATCTATCTATCTATCTATCTATCTATCTATCTATCTATCTATCTATCTACC